ATGTAAGTTAAGTTAGGTTTTGAGAGTTTTCAAAAAAGTTATATATGTACACATTTTGTGGGACACGCTGCATATTGTAAAATTCGACTGCGTGACAGACCACACATAATTTAATATCCAACTTATTACCTCTGAAATATAGCTAACGGACTTTCTAATGTTGCTAGCTTAGTTGCGGTTTTGTCCACCACCACCACCACGATGCACACCACCCCCCCTGTCTGTCACCACCAACACGGCCTCCTCTGGACCAACTGCCTCCTCCGTCTCCCCTGTCTGTCACCACCAACACGGCCTCCTCTGGACCAACTGCCTCCTCCGTCTCCCCTGGTCACACCACCATAGCAGCCTCGTCTGGTGTCCCTGCCCCCTGCAATTTGAATACAGCCACCTCCACAGGTAAACACATGTTAAATTACAAAAAAAATTACTTTTATCTGTTTTTATAAAACAGCAATATATAAAAAACAAAAAAATCTATCTTTACATATCTACAGTCCATAGCACCAGCCCTCAAGTCATCTCCACCTCCTCCAAACCCTCTGCAGCTTCCTCCAGAGGTATTGATGTTTAAAAGGGTTTTGATGAAACATGCTCAGTCTAACACTACTTTTTCTCAAACTGCAGCACAGAAAAGGAAGAGAAAAGCTCCAGCGGTCACATCTGTCACACCACCCATGGCACCGCTCTCAGGTACTTCATCATCTGTTTTTCTCTCTCTCAGTTGTATCAATTACTATTGTTGTTGAATAACTTCTACATTTTGCAAAACCATATTAATCAATTTGTATTATTCTTTTATTTTTTATAAAAGAAGACACCACCTGCTGTGCTCGCTGCGGGGAGCGTGATCCGCCTGCGAGCTCCTCTCAGGAGTGTAGATCCGAGGTGCCATGGGTGTGCTGTGACTTCTGCCAGCACTGGTTCCACTGCAGGTGTGTGCAGTGGGATCCAGAGGTAGCGGTGGAGCTGGAATATTATTGGGATTATTGTGACAATATAGGGGATGGAGGTCGAGATTTAATTGTTTGTTTTGTTTGTGTTCGTATGAAATTATTGAAAAAAATGTCTAAAACATAATATATATATTTATTGAACCCATCTTGTGTATTTCTTCCTTTAGTTTCTGTGGTGTCGAGAAAACGTTGCTAATTATGCTGTGAGAACAAGGAGATCCGCTGACGCTGTACTTCGATCATAAAGGTTTATTCATAACAAAGGGTTACAGCTTCAATTTATGGATGTCTGCAGACACCCGGAGAACAGCCGACCCAAATTCAAATATGCTATTCTCCCCGTCCTTTGTCCCAAACCATAGTATATATCCTATGTAATCTGATATGGGTGTTTTCCCCTACAGACCAATCCCAGGAGGTCACCTAACAGACTTCCTCTGCTTTAGGGTGCCCCTCTAAAACTGCTCTCCAGATGTCTCCCTGGGCCAAATCAACATTCTCTCAGATACCATTTGAAAACATTAACAAAGTCATAATTCCTCAGATACTACAGTTTCCAAGTGCATCTCTGCAACACAAACTCCAACAGTGTTTTCATTGTTTATGTTAATGCACATAACTGAAATTAAAGTTTTATTTGATGTAAATTATTAATACTCATATTTTATTATTCAACTGTTATCTACTTTCTCAAAACATAAGATTAATCTGTAAAACAAATGATGAGACATTATTTGGTAACAACACTGAATATGTTGGTGAAGAACCATTTCTTAAGAGTCCACAGGAGGGCGCACCGGGCTACGCAATGAAAAGTTGACAGGCAAGTCATTTTATTTTACCAGAAGGCTAGCCAACTATGTAGTAAACACTTCGGTTACGAGGTTGGTGTTTCTTTTTTCAACAAAATTAAACGGATATATCTTGTAATTTAACAAAATAGTAAGGTGGCCAATAACTGGGGGCCGTGTGCCGATAATACGGGACGTATTTTCTTTGCTAGACCGCTTATCAAAAAGCTGATAACAGTAGTTTTTCCACTGAAATGTCAAACATGCTAATTGCTAACCCGTTAGCTAACATTTTTAACACACCAATAATCACAAAACATTAATGGCTTGATCCCAAGATAACACTGTTGAAGGTAATATATTTCTTAAACGCTGTTGAATATGCCGATAATACAGGGTTCCACGCTAGTAAGATTCTGATTCTTTGTATAATTCTTGGGAATAGAATCAATCAAGAGGAAAGATGGATCTGGATCAAAATAACACTACAGAAGGAAGTTGTACTTTTGCCAGGAACGGCTCAATATTGACTCCTGTATGTGTTATACCAGGATGCACTTGTCTCAATGTTTAACATTCATTAACTCTCTGATACGCACTTGTCAAACAACAAGACAAACATCGTTCGAAGCGGTTTCGTTTAATGCAATCTCGCTATACACATATTGTGAGAAGAATAAATGGGGGTTAGAAGAACTGATTGCCAAAGGAGATCTGAAGACACAGATATACAGTATCTTGACAGCAAAACAGGAATGTAAAGTTCTGTCCCGTTCCACTACACCAAAAGACAAACAGTGACAGCCAGGCAATTGTCAGATATGTTGCTGCTCCAAAACAAAACCTCCAAGGACAGCTAGACAGCTGCATACCTGACCTCCCTCCCTCCCTCCCTCCCTCAACTACCTGCCCCCTCCCCCCTCCCTCCCTCCACCTTCACTACCCTTCACCCTCCACCTTCAACCCTCCCTCCCTCCAATCCCTCCCCTCCATCCTCCTCGCCCCTCCCTCGCCTCACCCTTCAACCATTCCCCCCTAAAATTTTCCCGTCCCTCCCCCTCCACCTTCAACACCATCCTGCCTCCCCCACCCTCCCACCCTACACCTTCCACCAATTCCATCCACAATCCCTCCCTCAACCTTCAACCTTCACCATTCCCTCCCTCCCTCCACCTTCACCCATCCATCCCTCCCTCCCTCAACCTTCAACCTTCACCATTCCCCCCCTCCCTTCACCTTCACCCTTCATGTTCTCCTTTGCATCCGCCAAACCCAGATTCGTTCATCGGACTACCAGATGATGAAGAGTGATTCATCACTCCAGAGAACGCGTTTCCACTGCTCCAGAGTCCAATGGCGGCGAGCTTTACACCACTCCAGCCGATGCTTGGCATTGCGCATGTATGGCGAAACCCATTTCATGAAGCTCCCGACGTACAGTTCTTGTGCTGACGTTGCTTCCAGAGGCAGTTTGGAACTCGGTAGTGAGTGCTGCAACCGAGGACAGACGATTTTACGCGCTTCAGCACTCGGCGGTCCCGTTCTGTGAGCTTGTGTGGCCTACCACTTCGCGGCTGAGCCGTTGTTGCTCCTAGATGTTTCCACTTCACAATAACAGCACTTACTGTTGACCGGGGCAGCTCTAGCAAGGCAGAAATTATACGAACTGACTTGATGGAAAGGTGGCATCCTATGATGGTGCCACGTTGAAAGTCACTGAGCTCTTCAGTAAGGCCATTCTACTGCCAATTTTTGTCTATGGAGATTGCATGGCTGTGTGCTCAATTTTATACGCCTGTCAGCAACGGGTGTGGCTGAAATAGCTGAATCCACTAATTTGAAGGGGTGTCCACATACACTACATGGCCAAAAGTATGTACCTGGTTGTTACCTCTGTGGGGGGCTGATGATGCAGGTGTGTGTCTCGGGTGTGTGTGTGTGTGTGTGTGTCTCGGGGGGTGTGTGTGTGTGTGTGTGTGTGTGTGTGTGTGTGTCTCGGGGGTGTGTGTGTGTGTGTGTGTGTGTGTGTGTGTCTCAGAGGTGTGTGTGTGTGTGTTTGTGTCTGGGTGTGTGTGTGTGTGTGTGTGTGTGTGTGTCTCTGGGGTGTGTGTGTGTCTCTGGGGTGTGTGTGTGAGCATAAAGCCTCATTCTCTGTAAATGAATCTGTCCAGATTGTTTCCAGATTTGACCTATAATTAAATTACAATATGAGTGAAATAGTTTTCCTTCCATAAAATGTTAATTAAGTACATAAAAAATAAGCTTTTCTGTGTTGGAATGGTGTGGGCGTATCCCAGCAACAAAATGGTGTGGGCGTATCCCAGCAACAAAATGGTGTGGGCGTACCCCAGCAACAAAATGGTGTTGGCGTATCCCAGCAACAAAATGGTGTGGGCGTATCCCAGCAACAGAATGGTGTGGGCGTATCCCAGCAACAGAATGGTGTGGGCGTACCCCAGTCATTCAAAATATTAATGCGAGTAGACCGCTGATTGGCCAGCTCATCCTCCTCTAGACCGCTGATTGGCCAGCTCATCCTCCTCTAGACTGCTGATTGGCCAGCTCATCCTCCTCTAGACCGCTGATTGGCCAGCTCATCCTCCTCTAGACCGCTGATTGGCCAGCTCATCCTCCTCTAGACCACTGATTGGCCAGCTCATCCTCCTCTAGACCGCTGATTGGCCAGCTCATCCTCCTCTAGACCGCTGATTGGCCAGCTCATCTTCTTCTAGACCGCTGATTGGCCAGCTCATCCTCCTCTAGACCACTGATTGGCCAGCTCATCCTCCTCTAGACCACTGATTGGCCAGCTCATCCTCCTCTAGACCGCTGATTGGCCAGCTCATCCTCCTCAGGAGTATTACATTATCCTCTATGAGGAAATAGCAAGCATTTGTTTGAGATATTAGTTTTTTTTTTTTTTAAGTGTTCTTTTCTCCCATTGATGCTTTGGCCTCAAATACAAGTATAGGATGAGGCAACAACATTATTTGGGTGTGAGTTAACAGAATATTAACTTTTAAAAGTGAGATTTTCACTGGACAGTTCCTTTAAAATGGCACCCTATTCCCCTTACAATGTAGTAGGGAAGACAGTGATGCAGGTCATAACCAATGCACTCGTACAGTACACTAGCCTTATATCAACGCTATCACTCTGTAGACAACCACCTTTAGATTCTGCTGCCCTCTACTGGATTGGGGCGGAAGTTCTCTTCAAGAGGATGACCAAGAGGAACGTGAAATCATTGACCATCTCCCCGTGACACGTCTCCCCTGTGACACGTCTCCCCTGTGACACGTCTCCCCTGTGACCAGTCTCCCCTGTGACACGTCTCCCCTGTGACACGTCTCCCCTGTGACACGTCTCCCCTGTGACACGTCTCCCCTGTGACCAGTCTCCCCTGTGACCAGTCTCCCCTGTGACCAGTCTCCCCTGTGACCAGTCTCCCCTGTGAAACGTCTCCCCTGTGACACGTCTCCCCTGTGACCAGTCTCCCCTGTGACCAGTCTCCCCTGTGACCAGTCTCCCCTGTGACACGTCTCCCCTGTGACCAGTCTCCCCTGTGACACGTCTCCCCTGTGACCAGTCTCCCCTGTGACCAGTCTCCCCTGTGACCAGTCTCCCTGTGACCAGTCTCCCCTGTGAAACGTCTCCCCTGTGACACGTCTCCCCTGTGACCAGTCTCCCCTGTGACCAGTCTCCCCTGTGACCAGTCTCCCCTGTGACCAGTCTCCCCTGTGACCAGTCTCCCCTGTGACACGTCTCCCCTGTGACCAGTCTCCCCTGTGACACGTCTCCCCTGTGACACGTCTCCCCTGTGACACGTCTCCCCTGTGCCACGTCTCCCCTGTGACCAGTCTCCCCTGTGACCAGTCTCCCCTGTGACCAGTGTCAACTGTGTGGCTCCACAGAGGATCTTGACTTCTGTAGGGACACATATCCATTGGCTGGCAGCTCCTCTCAATGCACTACCTGACTGCTGATCTGCACTCTGATTGGTCAGTTCTGTCCTCCACAGCTGTCCGTAAATGCCTCTGCACCAAGTGAAGACCCGCCCACTCTCTGGAAGAAACAAGTGACACAGTCTATTTAGTCCGGATCCGGACTGACCCCTGACCCCTGACCCCTGCTATAATACAACACTGACCCATGACCCCTGCTATAATACAACACTGACCCATGACCCCTGCTAAATACAACACTGACCCATGACCCTGCTATAATACAACACTGACCCATGACCCCTGCTATAATACAACACTGACCCATGACCCCTGCTATAATACAACACTGACCCATGACCCCTGCTATAATACAACACTGACCCATGACCCCTGCTATAATACAACACTGACCCATGACCCATGACCCCTGCTATAATACAACACTGACCCATGACCCCTGCTATAATACAACACTGACCCCTGACCCCTGCTATAATACAACACTGACCCATGACCCCTGCTATAATACAACACTGACCCCTGACCCCTGCTATAATACACCTGACCATGACCCCTGCTATAATACAACACTGACCCATGACCCCTGCTATAATACAACCTGACCCATGACCCCTGCTATAATACAACACTGACCCATTGACCCCCTGCTATAATACAACACTGACCCATGACCCCTGCCTATAATACAACACTGACCCATGAACCCCTGCTATAATACAACACTGACCCATTGACCCCTGCTATAATACAACACTGACCCATGACCCCTGCTATAATACAACACTGACCCATGACCCCTGCTATAATACAACACTGACCCATGACCCCTGCTATAATACAACACTGACCCCTGACCCCTGCTATAATACAACACTGACCCATGACCCCTGCTATAATACAACACTGACACACTGACCCCTTCCAGCATTTGGTAACATCCTGCCCCCTGAACGCCACGTCTATTTCTATGGGCACAAGCACTGTTCATGACACAAACTGTTCCCACCCCTCTTGTTGGCGGAGAAAACATTTAGCAGGTTTAAAGCTTATTTCCTGCAATTCTACATTTTGTCAGAGAACATTTTTCAGTTTTAACGCTAATTTTCTTGCAATTATAACATTATAACAAAAGCTAAAAAACGTTAGCTGACATGAACTAGTTGATCTGGACATTTCTGACAAGTTACAAATATCTCTCTAAGGTATGCAATGACTAACATGACAAGAGGAACTGATGATGCAATACCCAATATAGAAATTGCACCTTGTGCATTCTACTATTACAACTTTCAACAGTAAGTTAAAAGCCGGACTGAGAGAAAAAAATTAACGTTGAACCATCTGATTCTCTTTGTCGAGAAAACTTTTCAGCGCAACTCATATTTCTCATAAACATAATTGTTAATGACATCCAGTTGATTGATCTCAAGTAAAAAGCAGTGGAACAACAGACTGAGACTAACAATATAGACTACAGACTGGAACTACATACAACTAACAGAGATAACGACTGGAGACATAACAAACTGGGCCCCTGCAGACTGGAGATACAACTGGAGACAATCATACTGCAAAAAAGCAGACTGGAGAACTATCAGACTGGGATCTAGCAGGCTGGAGACTAACAGACTGGAGACTAACAGACTGGAGACTAACAGACTGGAGACTAGCAGATGGAGACTACAGACTGGAGACAACAGACTGGAGACTAGCAGACTGGAGACTAGCAACTGGGACTAGCAGACTGGAGGACTGCAGACTGGAAGACTAGCAGACTGGAGATAGCAGACTGGAGACTAGCAGATGAGACTGGAGATAGACAAACTGACTGGAGACTAGCAGATGGAGACTAGCAGACTGGAGACTAGCAGACTGGAGAAACAGACTGGAGACTAACAGATGGAGACTAGCAGACTGGAGACTAGCAGACTGGGACTAGCAGATGGAGACTAGCAGACTGGAGACTAGCAGACTGACGAGACTAGCAGACTGGGGGGACTAGCAGACTGGGATAGCAGACTGGAGACTAGCAGACTGGAGACTAGCAGACTGGGACAGCAGACTGGAGACTAACAGACTGGAGACTAGCAGACTGGAGACTAGCAGACTGGACTGACTAGCAGACTGGAGACTATCAGGCTGGAGAATAGCAGACTGACTGGAGACTAGCAGACTGGAGACTATCAGACTAGCAGACTGGAACAAACAGACTGGAGACTGGAAAATAGCAGACTGGAGACTAGCAGAATGGACTAGCAGACTGGAGACTAAGAGACTGGAGACTAACAGACTGGAGACTAACAGACTGGAGACTAGCAGACTGGAGACTAGCACACTTGAGGCTAGCAGACTTGATGCTAACAGACTGGAACAACAGACTGGAGACTAGCAGACTGAAGACTGGAGACTAGCAGACTAGAAGACTGGAGATAAGCAGACTGGGACTAAGCAGACTGGAGGACTAACAGACTGGAGACAGCAGACTGGAGACTAACAGACTGAGACTGCAGACTGAGCTAGCAGACTGGATACTAACAGACTGGAGACAGCTAGACAAGACTGGAGACTAGCAGACTGGAGACTGGAGAATAGCAGACTGAAGACAAGCAGACTGGAGACAAGCAGACTGGAGACAAGCAGACTGGAGACTAACAGACTAGCAGACTGGCAGACTGGAGTACAGACTGGATGCAGCTGGAGACTAGCAGACTGGAGACTAGCAGACTGGAGACTAGCAGACTGGAGACTAACAGAATGGAGACTAGCAATTCTGAGACTAGCAGACTGGAGACTACAGATTGGAGACTAGCAGACTGGAGACTAGCAGACTGGAGACTAGCAGACTGGAGACTAGCAAACTGGAGACTAAGAGACTGGAGACTAACAGAATGGAGACTAGCAATTCTGAGACTAGCAGACTGGAGACTAGAAGACTAGCAGACTGGCAGACTGGAGACTAGCAGACTGGAGACTAGCAGACTGGAGACAAGCAGACTGGAGACAAGCAGACTAGCAGACTGGAGACTGGAGACTAGCAGACTGGAGACTAACAACACTGGAGCCTAGCAGACTGGAGACTAGCAGACTGGAGACTAGCAGACTGGAGACTAGCAGACTGGAGACTAGCAGACTGGAGACTGGAGACTAGCAGACTGGAGACTAGCAAGACTGGAGACTAGCAGACTGGAGACTAGCAGACTGGAGACTAGAGAGACTGGAGACTAGCAGACTGGAGACTAGCAGACTGGAGACTAGCACAACTGGAGACTAGCAGACTGGAGACTAGCAGACTGGAGACTAGCAGACTGGGAGACTAAAATAGCAGACTGGAGACTAGCGGGACTGGAGATAGCAGACTAGAGACTAGGAGACGACTAGCAGACTGGAGACTACACGACTAGGGACTAGCAGACTGGAGACTAGCAGACTGGAGACTGGAAAATAGCAGACTGGAGACTAGCAGAATGAGACTAGAAGACTGGAGACTAGCAGACTGGAGACTAAGACTGCAGACTGGAACAAACAGACTGGAGACTAAGAGCAGAACTGGAGACTAGCAGATGGAGCTAGCAGACTGGAGTGACTAAGCAGACTGGAGACTAACTGAACTGGAGCTACAGACTGGGAGACTAGCAGACTGGAGACAGCAGACTGGGAGAGACTGAGCCAGACTGGAGACTAGACAGAACTGGAGACTGAGACAGACTGGAGACTAGCAGACTGGAGACTAGCAGACTGGAGACTAGCAGACTGGAGACTAGCAGACTGGAGACTAGTAAATTGGAGACTAGCAGACTGGAGACAAGCAGAACTGGAGAACTAGCAGACTGGAGACTAGTAAATTGCCGGAACCTAGCAAACTGGAGACTAGCAGACTGGAGACTAGCAGACTGGAGACTAGCAGACTAGCAGACTGGCAGACTGGAGACTAGCAGACTGGAGACTAGCAGACTGGAGACTAGCAGACTGGAGACTAGCAGACTGGAGGACTAGCAGACTGGAGACTAGCAGACTGGAGACAAGCAGACTGGAGACTAGCAGACTGGAGACTAGCAGACTGGAGACTAGCAGACTGGAGACAATCAGACTGGAGACTAGCAGACTGGAGACTAGCAGACTGGAGACTAGCAGACTGGAGGACCAATCAGACGGAAACTAGCAGACTGGAGACTAGCAGGAATGGAGACGAGCAGACTGGAGACTAGCAGACTGGAGACTAGCAGACTGGAGACTAGCAGACTGGAGACTAGCAGACTGGAGACTAGCAGACTGGAGACTAGTAAATTGGAGACTAGCAGACTGGAGATTAGCAGACTAGAGACTAGCAGACTGGAGACTAGTAAATTGGAGACTAGCAGATGGAGACTAGCAGAACTGGGAGACTGAGACTAGCAGACTGGAGACTAGTAAATTGGAGACTAGCAGACTGGAGACTAGCAGACTGGAGACTAGCAGACTGGAGACTAGCACACTAGCAGACTGGAGACTAGCAGACTGGAGACTAGCAGACTGGAGACTAGCAGACTGGAGACTAGCAGGACTGGGACTAGCAGACTGGAGACAAGCAGACTGGGAGACTAGCAGACTGGAGACTAGCAGACTGGGAGACTAGCAGACTGGAGACTGGAGGACTGGAGACTAGCAGACTGGAGACTAGTAAATTGGAGACTAGCAGAACTGGAGATAGCAGGGACTAGAGACTAGAAGACTGGAGACTAGCCAAAACAGAGAATAGCAGACTGGAGACTAGCAGACTGGAGACTAGCAGACTGGAGACTAACCAGACTGGAGACTAGCAGACTGGGAGACTAGCAGACTGGAGACTAGCAGACTGGAGACTATCAGACTGGAGACAAGCAGACTGGAGACAAGCAGACTAGCAGACTGGAGACTAGCAGACTGGAGACTAGCAGACTGGAGACTAGCAGACTGGAGACTAGCAGACTGGAGACAATCAGACTGGAGACAAGCAGACTAGAAGACTGGAGACTAGCAAAACAGAGACTAGCAGACTGGAGACTAGCAGACTGGAGACTAGCAGACTGGAGACTAGCAGACTGGAGACAATCAGACTGGAGACAATCAGACTGGAGACAAGCAGACTGGAGACAAGCAGACTGGAGACTAGCAGACTGGAGACTAGCAGACTGGAGACTAGCAGACTGGAGACAAGCAGACTGGAGACAAGCAGACTAGCAAACTGGAGACTAGCAGACTGGAGACTAGCAGACTGGAGACTAGCAGACTGGAGACTAGCAGACTGGAGACTAGCAGACTGGAGACTAACAGAATGGAGACAAGCAGACTAGCAAACTGGAGACTAGCAGACTGGAGACTAGCAGACTGGAGACTAGCAGACTGGAGACTAGCAGACTGGAGACTAGCAGACTGGAGACAAGCAGACTGGAGACAAGCAGACTAGCAGACTGGAGACTAGCAGACTGGAGACTAGCAGACTGGAGACTAGCAGACTGGAGACTGGAGACTAGCAGACTGGAGACTAGCAAACTGGAGACCAGCAGACTGGAGACTAAGAGACTGGAGACTAGCAAATTGGAGACTAGCAGACTGGAGACTAGCAGACTGGAGACTAGCAGACTGGAGACTAGCACACTAGCAGACTGGAGACTAGCAGACTGGAGACTAGCAGACTGGAGACTAGCAGACTGGAGACTAGCAGACTGGAGACTAGCAGACTGGAGACTAGCAGACTGGAGACAAGCAGACTGGAGACTAGCAGACTGGAGACTAGCAGACTGGAGACTAGCAGACTGGAGACTGGAGACTGGAGACTAGCAGACTGGAGACTAGTAAATTGGAGACTAGCAGACTGGAGATTAGCAGACTAGAGACTAGAAGACTGGAGACTAGCAAAACAGAGACTAGCAGACTGGAGACTAGCAGACTGGAGACTAGCAGACTGGAGACTAACAGACTGGAGACTAGCAGACTGGAGACTAGCAGACTGGAGACTAGCAGACTGGAGACAAGCAGACTGGAGACAAGCAGACTGGAGACAAGCAGACTAGCAGACTGGAGACTAGCAGACTGGAGACTAGCAGACTGGAGACAATCAGACTGGAGACTAGCAGACTGGAGACAATCAGACTGGAGACAAGCAGACTAGAAGACTGGAGACTAGCAAAACAGAGACTAGCAGACTGGAGACTAGCAGACTGGAGACTAGCAGACTGGAGACTAGCAGACTGGAGACTAGCAGACTGGAGACAATCAGACTGGAGACAATCAGACTGGAGACAAGCAGACTGGAGACAAGCAGACTGGAGACTAGCAGACTGGAGACTAGCAGACTGGAGACTAGCAGACTGGAGACAATCAGACTGGAGACAAGCAGACTAGCAAACTGGAGACTAGCAGACTGGAGACTAGCAGACTGGAGACTAGCAGACTGGAGACTAGCAGACTGGAGACAATCAGACTGGAGACAAGCAGACTAGCAAACTGGAGACTAGCAGACTGGAGACTAGCAGACTGGAGACTAGCAGACTGGAGACTAGCAGACTGGAGACTAGCAGACTGGAGACAATCAGACTGGAGACAAGCAGACTAGCAAACTGGAGACTAGCAGACTGGAGACTAGCAGACTGGAGACTAGCAGACTGGAGACTGGAGACTAGCAGACTGGAGACTAGCAAACTGGAGACCAGCAGACTGGAGACTAAGAGACTGGAGACTAAGATACTGGAGACTAGCAGACTGTAGAGTAGCAGACTGGAGACTAAGAGACTGGAGACTAATATACTGGAGACTAGCACTCTAGCAGACTGGAGACTAGCAGCCTGGAGACTAAAATACTGAAGACTAGCAGACTGGAGACTAGCAGACTGGAGACTAGAAGACTGGAGACAAGCAGACTAGCAGACTAGCAGACTGGAGACTAGCAAATCAGAGACTAGCAGACTGGAGACTAGCAGACTGGAGACTAGCAGACTGGAAACTAGCAGACTGGAGACTAGCAGAATGGAAACTAGCAGACTGGAGACTAGCAGACTGGAGACTAACAGACTGGAGACTAGCAGACTGGAGACTAGCACATTGGAGACTAGCAGACTGGAGACTAGAGGACTGGAGACTAGAGGACTGGACACTAGCAAACTGGAGACTGGAGACTATCAGACTGAAGACTAGCAAACTGGAGACTAGCAAACTGGAGACTAGCAGACTGGAGACTAGCAGACTGGAGACTAGCAGACTGGAGACTAGCAGACTGGAGACTAGCAGACTGGAGACAAGCAGACTAGCAGACTGGAGACTGGAGACTTGCAGACTAGCAGACTGGAGACTAGCAGAGTAGCAGACTGGAGACTAAGAGACTGGAGACTAATATACTGGAGACTAATATACTGGTGACTAGCAGACTGGAGACTAGCAGACTGGAGACTTGCAGACTAGCAGACTGGAGACTTGCAGACTAGCGGACTGGAGACTTGCAGACAAGCAGACTGGAGACTAGCAGACTGGAGACTAGCAGACTGGAGACTAGCAGACTGGTGACTAGCAGACTGGAGAATAGCAGACTGGAGACTAGCAGACTGACTGGAGACTAGCAGACTGACTGGAGACTAGCAGACTGGAGACTAGCAGACTGACTGGAGACTAGCAGACTGGAGACTAGCAGACTGGAGACTAGCAGACTGACTGGAGACTAGCAGACTGACTGGAGACTAGCAGACTGGAGACTAGCAGACTGACTGGAGACTAGCAGACTAGCAGACTGGAGACTAGAAGACTGACTGGAGACTAGCAGACTGGAGACTAGCAGACTGACTGGAGACTAGCAGACTAGCAGACTGGAGACTAGCAGACTGACTGGAGACTAGCAGACTAGCAGACTGGAGACTAGCAGACTAACTGGAGACTAGCAGACTGGAGACTAGCAGACTGACTGGAGACTAGCAGACTGGAGACTAGCAGACTGACTGGAGACTAGCAGACTAGCAGACTAGCAGACTGGAGACTAGCAGACTGACTGGAGACTAGCAGACTGGAGACTAGCAGACTGACTGGAGACTAGCAGACTAGCAGACTGGAGACTAGCAGACTGACTGGAGACTAGCAGACTAGCAGACTGGAGACTAGCAGACTGACTGGAGACTAGCAAACTGACTGGAGACTTGCAGACTAGCAGACTGGAGACTTGCAGACTAGCAGACTGGAGACTAGCAGACTGGAGACTAGCAGACTGGAGACTAGCAGACTGGTGACTAGCAGACTGGAGAATAGCAGACTGGAGACTAGCAGACTGACTGGAGACTAGCAGACTGGAGACTAGCAGACTGGAGACTAGCAGACTGGAGACTAGCAGACTGACTGGAGACTAGCAGACTAGCAGACTGGAGACTAGCAGACTGACTGGAGACTAGCAGACTGGAGACTAGCAGACTGACTGGAGACTAGCAGACTAGCAGACTGGAGACTAGCAGACTGACTGGAGACTAGCAGACTAGCAGACTGGAGACTAGCAGACTGACTGGAGACTAGCAGACTGACTGGAGACTAGCAGACTGGAGACTAGCAGACTGACTGGAGACTAGCAGACTGACTGGAGACTAGCAGACTGACTGGAGACTAGCAGACTGGAGACTAGCAGACTGACTGGAGACTAGCAGACTAGCAGACTGGAGACTAGCAGACTGACTGGAGACTAGCAGACTGGAGACTAGCAGACTGACTGGAGACTAGCAGACTAGCAGACTGGAGACTAGCAGACTGACTGGAGACTAGCAGACTAGCAGGACTGGAGACTAGCAGACTGACTGGAGACTAGCAGACTGACTGGAGACTAGCAGACTGGAGACTAGCAGACTGACTGGAGACTAGCAGACTGACTGGAGACTAGCAGACTAACAGACTGGAGACTAGCAGACTGACTGGAGACTAGCAGACTGGAGACTAGCAGACTGACTGGAGACTAGCAAACTGACTGGAGACTAGCAGACTGGAGACTAGCAGACTAGCAGACTGGAGACTAGCAGACTGGAGACTAGCAGACTGGTGACTAGCAGACTGGAGAATAGCAGACTGGAGACTAGCAGACTGACTGGAGACTAGCAGACTGACTGGAGACTAGCAGACTGGAGACTAGCAGACTGACTGGAGACTAGCAGACTGGAGACTAGCAGACTGGAGACTAGCAGACTGACTGGAGACTAGCAGACTGGAGACTAGCAGACTGACTGGAGACTAGCAGACTAGCAGACTGGAGACTAGCAGACTGACTGGAGACTAGCAGACTGGAGACTAGCAGACTGGAGACTAGCAGACTGGAGACTAGCAGACTGGTGACTAGCAGACTGGAGAATAGCAGACTGGAGACTAGCAGACTGACTGGAGACTAGCAGACTGACTGGAGACTAGCAGACTGGAGACTAGCAGACTGACTGGAGACTAGCAGACTGGAGACTAGCAGACTGGAGACTAACAGACTGACTGGAGACTAGCAGACTGACTGGAGACTAGCAGACTGACTGGAGACTAGCAGACTAGCAGACTGGAGACTAGCAGACTGACTGGAGACTAGCAGACTGGAGACTAGCAGACTGACTGGAGACTAGCAGACTAGCAGACTGGAGACTAGCAGACTGACTGGAGACTAGCAGACTGGAGACTAGCAGACTGACTGGAGACTAGCAGACTGGAGACTAGCAGACTGACTGGAGACTAGCAGACTAGCAGACTGGAGACTAGCAGACTGACTGGAGACTAGCAGACTCACCAGTAAGGCTCACACAGCGGGCGAAGCCTGCAGCAACTCTGTGTGACATCACCTGATCCAGACCTGGGACCAGACAAGGTATCTTGGAGGTGAAGTGTGCTGGGACAGGTTGTGGACTCAGAGCTCTCTTAGCCTGACCATAGAGACCCATACCCCACTGGTACACACTACCGGTACCTGAAGACAGAACAACACAAGGAGAAAGACTTATTGGTGATTGTTGTGCCCGATAAGAAAGAATGCATTGATGATGTACATTTACATTTCACATTTTAGTCATTTAGCAGACGCTCTTTTCCAGAGCGACTTACAGAAGCAATTATTGTTAAGTGCCTTGCTCAAATAGTTGGGAAGAGATTTTTGACGTACCGATTCCATGGCAAATGGTTTATGAACTGATACGCAAAACGACGCCGGATGCAAAACATAGAATCTTTCAATTTATATTATTATACAAAATTCTTGCTACCAATAGAATTGTATTTATATGGGGGTGTCACGGATTCTGCCGAGGCTGCTCCTCCTCCTTGCTCGGGCAGGCTTCGGCGTTCGTCGTCCCCGGAGTACTAGCTACTGCCGATCGATGTTTTCGGTGTTTGTCTTGTGTTCTCTAGTTTATACACCTGTTGCTTATTAGTGTTGATTGTGTAGCATATAAGTTTCCTTGTTTTACGTTTGGCCTTTGTGTGTTATTGTGTATTGTCTCGTTGATGTTCGGCATAGCTATTTCGCCTCATTACGCACAGGGTGTTTTTTCCCCTCCAGTGTTTTGGAGACTTTTGTTTGTGCGTTTGCATTCAGTAAAGTAGTCATCCTGATTCTCTGTGTCCTGCGTCTGACTTCACTTGCCGCGTACACATCACCCTTTTGACAGGGGGATACAATCTTCCCAGCTCTGCAGATTTTGCTGCGGAGAGACAGAATCATTAGATAATTTGTTTTGGTATTGTCCATTTGCAGCTTGTTTTTGGTCACAGGTCCAGGAATGGCTGAAGGATTGCAATATTTACCTGGAGCTAACCCTGCAGACAGCACTACTGGGTGATCTGAAAAGTCATAGTCAATCGATCAATAATATAATAATACTTTTAGCAAAAAAAATTATTTTCAATTTACAATCTGTAGAAACAATGATTATTGAAGGGTTCAGAACTTTTGTGAAACATCACAGTACAGTTGAAAAATATATGGCAAATAGAAATCCAATATGGATGGTGTTAAGAGATAGATGGGAGGGGTTGAATGGAGCTGAGGGTTGGGACTAATAACAACTAATAACAACAAGATAACTAATGTAAAACATAATAAGTATATAGGTTATAGGTTAAGAACTTTTGTGAAAGAGCACAGTTTGAAAGATATGGCATATAGAAGCAATGGACATCATGAAATTGATCGGAGAGGTTGAGGGTAGAGGAAATTCAGGAGTAAAAACAAACAAAACAGAATTATTGTAAAATTGACTGTGTCCATAAAATGTATATAGTAAGTATAAGCTGGAAGTAGAGGCCTAAGCATTGTTGTTCACTAGTTTACTCCAATTAGGGGAGGGGTGGTGGGGGTGGAAAGTAATAAAGGAAAATATATTTTAAAAAAGGATATGTATGTATATGTATTTATATGTATGTATGTATGTATGCATGCGTGTAAGTATGTGTATATGTATGTACAGTTGAAGTCGGAAGTTTACCTACAGATATATACATAGAGATATAGACAGAGTAAATATACAGAGATACAGTGGGGGAAAAAAGTATTTAGTCAACCACCAATTGTGCAAGTTCTCCCACTTAAAAAGATGAGAGAGGCCTGTAATTTTCATCATAGGTACACATCAACTATGACAGACAAAATGATATTTTTTTTTCCAGAAAATCACATTGTAGGATTTTTAATGAATTTATTTGCAAATTATGGTGGAAAATAAGTATTTGGTCAATAACAAAAGTTTCTCAATACTTTGTTATATACCCTTTGTTGGCAATGACACAGGTCAAAAGTTTTCTGTAAGTCTTCACAAGGTTTTCACACACTGTTGCTGGTATTTTGGCCCATTCCACCATGCAGATCTCCTCTAGAGCAGTGATGTTTTGGGGCTGTCGCTGGGCAACACGTACTTTCAACTCCCTCCAAAGATTTTCTATGGGGTTGAGATCTGGAGACTGGCTAGGCCACTCCAGGACCTTGAAATGCTTCTTACGAAGCCACTCCTTCATTGCCCGGGCGGTGTGTTTGGGATCATTGTCATGCTGAAAGACCCAGCCACGTTTCATCTTCAATGCCCTTGCTGATGGAAAGAGGTTTTCACTCAAAATCTCACGATACATGGCCCCATTCATTCTTTCCTTTACACAGATCAGTCGTCCTGGTCCCTTTGCAGAAAAACAGCCCCAAAGCATGATGTTTCCACCCCCATGCTTCACAGTAGGTATGGTGTTCTTTGGATGCAACTCAGCATTCTTTGTCCTCCAAACACGACGAGTTGAGTTTTTACCCAAAAGTTATATTTTGGTTTCATCTGACCAGGGGCGGTGTGTTCATTAGGGCGATATGGGCGACGCACTGCCAAACGGGAAAAGGAAGGGATTTTTTTTCTAATCAATTATATCACGGCAACAGTAGTTATCAGTGTTCTAATCTAGACGTCTGATCTGCCACTAAATGTCCAATCAGGCTAAAGTCGTGCTTCAAATGGCCCCGCCCCTTTCGGGGCGATTTCAGTCAGGTTGAAAATCGCCCCAGAAGTCTCTCATAGACTCTCATGTAAAATCTTTTTTTTTTCAAATATCAGAGCTTTCAATACAATCTCTATGGGTTCCGGGAGGGCTTGTAGTTTTTACCAAAAAGTTATATTTTGGTTTCATCTGACATTCTCCCAATCCTCTTCTGGATCATCCAAATGCACTCTAGCAAACTTCAGACGGGCCTGGACATGTACTGGCTTAAGCAGGGGGACACGTCTGGCACTGCAGGATTTGAGTCCCTGGCGGCGTAGTGTGTTACTGATGGTAGGCTTTGTTACTTTGGTCCCAGCTCTCTGCAGGTCATTCACTAGGTCCCCCCATGTGGTTCTGGGATTTTTGCTCACCGTTCTTGTGATCATTTTGACCCCACGGGGAGATTATCAGTGGTCTTGTATGTCTTCCATTTCCTAATAATTGCTCCCACAGTTGATTTCTTCAAACCAAGCTGCTTACCTATTGCAGATTTAGTCTTCCCAGCCTGGTGCAGGTCTACAATTTTGTTTCTGGTGTCCTTTGACAGCTCTTTGGTCTTGGCCATAGTGGAGTTTGGAGTGTGACTGTTTGAGGTTGTGGACAGGTGTCTTTTATACTGATAACAAGTTCAAACAGGTGCCATTAATACAGGTAACGAGTGGAGGACAGAGGAGCCTCTTAAAGAAGAAGTTACAGGTCTGTGAGAGCCAGAAATCTTGCTTGTTTGTAGGTGACCAAATACTTATTTTCCACCATAATTTGCAAATGAATGCATTAAAAATCCTACAATGTGATTTTCTGGAAAAAAAAATCTCATTTTGTCTGTCATAGTTGACGTGTACCTATGATGAAAATTACAGGCCTCTCTCATCTTTTTAAGTGGGAGAACTTGCACAATTGGTGGCTGACTAAATACTTTTTCCCCCCACTGTATATACAGAGTAAATATACAGAGATATACACAGAGATATATACAGAGTAAATATACAGGAAGGCATATACAGAGATATTCACAGAGATATACAGAGTAAATATACAGAGTAAATACACAGAGATATATACAGAGATATACACAGAGATACAGTTGTGCCTTTAAACAGCTTGGAAAATTCCAGAAAATTATGTCATGGCTTAAGAAGCTTCTGATAGGCTAATTGACATAATTTGAGTCAATTGGAGATGTACCTGTGGATGTATTTCAAGGCCTACCTTCAAACTCAGTGCCTCTTTGCTTGACATCATGGGAAAATCTAAAGAAATCAGCCAAGACCTCAGAAAAAAATGGTAGACCTCCACAAGTCTGGTTCATCCTTGGGAGCAATTTCCAAACGCCTGAAAGTACCACGTTCATCTGTACAAACAATAGTACGCAAGTATAAACACCATGGGACCACGCAGCCGTCATACCACTCAGGAAGGAGACACGTTCTGTCTCCTAGAGATGAATGTACTTTGGTGCAAATCAATCCCAGAACAACAGCAGGACCTTGTGAAGATGCTGGAGGAAATCCACAGTAAATCCACAGTAAAACGAGTCCTATATCAACATAACCTGAAAGGCCGCTCAGCAAGGAAGAAGCCACTGCTCCAAAACGGCCATAAAAAAGCCAGACTACAGTTTGCAACTACACATGGGGACAGAGATCGTACTTTTCGGAGAAATGTCCTCTGGTCTGATGAAACAAAAATATAACTGTTTGGCCATAATGACCATCGTTATGTTTGGAGGAAAAAGGGGGTGGCTTGCAAGCCGAAGAACACCATCCCCACAGTGAAGCATGGTGGTGGCAGCATCATGCTGTGGGGATGTTTTTCATCGGCAGGGACTGGGAATCTGGTCAGAATTGAAGGAATGATGGATGGCGCTAAATACAGGGAAATTCTTGAGGGAAACCTGTTTCAGTCTTCCAGAGATTTGAGACTGGGACGGATGTTCACCTTCCAGCAGGACAATGACCCTAAGTATACTGCTAAAGCAACACTCAAATGGTTTAAGGGGAAACATTTAAATGTCTTGAATTTGGCCTAGTCAAAGCCCAGATCTCAATCCTATTGAGAATCTGTGGTATGACTTAAAGATTGCTGTACACCAGCGGAACCCATCCAACTTGTAGGAGCTGGAACAGTTTTGCCTTGAAGAATGGGCAAAAATCCCAGTGGCTAGATGTGCCAAGCTTATAGAGACATACCCCAAGAGACTTGCAGCTGTAATTGCTGCAAAAGGTGGCTCTACAAAGTATTGACTTTGGGGGGGTGAATAGTTATGCACGCTCAAGTTTTCAGTTTTCAGTTTTTTTGTCTTACTTCTTGTTTCTTTCATAATTAAAAATATTTTGCATCTTCAAAGTGGTAGGCATGTTGTGTAAATTAAATGATACAAAACACCCAAAAATCCATTTTAATTCCAGGTTTGTAAGGCAACAAAATAGGAAAATTGCCAAGGGGGGTGAACGCTTTCGCAAGCCACTGTAAGTATATGTATATACATATTAGCGAGAAAAAAACATATGGGAGATTGGAAGTGATGCAGACAATTACATTGATGGAAGTTACAATCTATCTCCAATATCAAAGCTGATCTACCCCCAAAAAAAAAAAAAAAAAAACGAATGAAAATGTTTCACCTAGTCGGCTCGGGGATTCAAACCAGAGACCTTTCGGTTACTGGCCCAACTCTTAACCGCTAGACTACCTGCTCTGTAGTGATTGAGAGGAAGCCTGAACTATATAGTACACACTACACATAACCACACACAGCAATGAGGACCAGAGTGAGTGTAAAAGTCGAATTCAGAGCTTGGAGCTGTAGTCAGAATGATGACATATTTATGAATGTCATTTCGAGGCTCCGTGGCTGTGAACTGTGAAGAGGTATGTCTTACCAGTGACAGTTAGTGAATGTCTGACTCCTGCTGCCACTCTGATCACTGGCTTCCTTACCGACTGAACGGGTAGCAGCACCATAGAATGAGGGATTGGCTCCGAGACACCCAGCTGGCCGTATGCATTAGATCCACACGTCAGTACCTGGCCACGATCTGAGAAACAACATGTTGTTACAAATGACAAGCAGTACACCTAGCAGTACATTCTTGGTCTCTCACACCAGTGAGAATGAGCAGTACATTCTCGGTCTCTCTCACCAGTGAGGACGAGCATGAAATCCTAACCACAGGACACGTGTGCAACCCTCTGACCAATGAGAGGACAGAGTTGAAAGGTGGTGACCTCTACACTGTGACCCAGTCCCAGCTGACCTCTGTGGTTCTTCCCACACACCAGCAGCTCTCCTTTCTCTGGAGGAAGGAGGAAGAGGAGGAAGAGGAGGTGGAGGAGAAGGAGAAGGAGGAGGAAGAGGAGGAAGAGGAGAAGGTGGAGGAAGAGGCAGTGGAGGAAGAGGAGGTGGAGGAAGAGGAGAAGAGAAGGTGGAGGAAGAGGAAGAGGAGGTGGAGGAAGAGGAGGAAGAGGAAGAGGATGAAGAGGAGGTGGAGGAAGAGGAAGAGGAGGAAGATGAGGTGGAGGAAGAGGAGGAAGAGGAAGTGGAGGAAGAGGAGGTGGTGGAAGAGGATGTGGAGGAAGAGGAGAAGGAGGAGGAAGAGGAGGTGGAGGAAGAGGAGGTGGAGGTAGAAGAAGAGGAGGATAATACGTTTTAGTTATGTGTGGACTGTGTAATGCATAAGCTGAAAACTGTTCTTGACATGGCTTTATTGACACACCAAAAGGAGAAGCCATATGTCCAGCAGAGGGAGACAAAGTCTACCCTTTGCAGATATTAGATAACTTTCTTCATGACAACAAAATGCCATCATGAGCCACACACTCACCAGAGACCACAGCCGAATGCCCATCGCAGTTATAGATTTGTCTGCGTTTCTCCCTCAACCCACTCGCCTCCAAGTGCTTCTCATAAGAAGGGAAGAAGGTGTCCATCGTCGGACGTGTGGCACACTCAGCTCTCCCCCTGTCCAGGGTGTCCGGCCTCCTCATGCTCAGGTTCTTGTGCCTCCTCCTGAACATTTCCCACCACCTCTTCCCCAGTGGCGGGATTGTTTCCCCTGGGTGCCGAAACCTACAATAGAATAGAATACATAAAAGTGTCCATCCAGGATGAAAATGTTTGTTTTGGCATCACCATACACATCCACATTTACATCACACACATTCAGTCCACCAGTCTACATACATAAACACATAGAACACCAAATACCTGCGTATTTTGTTGGCGTATTTCATCAGCCTCTGTCTGGTGAAGGGGAACCCATGGCTGGCACAGTAGATACAGTACTGCACCAGAGAATTTTCATCCTCTGATGCAAGCAATGTGGGTGGTCCACTGTGACCACCATGGGTCACCCGGCCGCTCAGCCTGTCCGCCAGGGTCTGCCGAGGTACACCACGCACCTTGGTAGATAAGAAAATAAAACTGTTACTAGCAGATAAAATTCACATACACGTGGTAATCTCCTAAAAACAAAAGATGCCTAACCTTGGCAGCCTGGTGGATAGCCATCCCTGCCCCGCAGTCCTCCATGGCATGGAACATGTCCACCTCACTCCACTGCTTCCTCTTGACTTTCTCCATGCTGTGGTGTTAATACATGTAGCTAAATAACTTGGCATACTATACACATTTCAGAAAGATAACTCAATCTGAATATGTACAAACATTTACATTTCAAAGCTAAGGCATTGAAAGGTGATGAAAGTTTTCACAATAACTGAAAGTGTACCCACGTGTCCCAATTAGTTTAATATTGATGCATACATTGTAACATTTGACTATGTAGCTGTTGTAAGATGAAACACAGCCACCAGTTTACACATCCTCATGCCAAAGACATCAACGACAGCATTATAGGCATGAACGCCATTTAGTGGTCCATTCCGTTCAGATGAACCACGCAGCAACCCTCTGGTCAGCCGTTCAGATGAACCACACGGCAGTTTCAGAAGAAAGTTATTTGTTTCTGGCCATTTTGAGCCTGTAATCGAACCCACAATTGCTGATGCTCCAGATACTCAACTAGTCTCAAGAAGGCCCGTTTTATTGCTTCTTTAATCAGCACAACAGTTTTCAGCTGTACTAACATAATTGCAAAAGGGTTTTCTAAAGCCTGTTATGGATTAAACCCCTAGAGTCATTATGCACGCCCCCGTGGAAATCAAATTAGCATAATAAAAGCATCCCCATAAAAATCTGTCAGTGTAAGCTAGAGATATCTGTTTTTTTGCACTGGATGTGTCTCCATCTACCACATCTGCCGATGTGGCACTTCCGCATTTGCGTGAGAGGTGACAGAGCTAGAGCGGTGTTCGACAGACCATGAGACGTCCCGAAAATCAGTCTTCTTACAAAATTGTCTGTAGCGTCCGAACGGTTTGGCCTACTATTATGACACCTCTAAGGAAAAATGGGACTCTCACGATGGTGTTCTCCGTTTTGGTCTACGACCCCCACAAGCCGTCTTGGGATTCTTCTGAAGTCGGTACATCCGATCTGCCAACTTCTGTCTGTAGCGTCCCAACATTCTGGGCTACACACTGAAATGAGACTCTCACGAACATGTACATGTCAGTTGCTTTGCCCTAGGACGCTCACAGGCCCCACAAGACTCGTCTGAAGGTCCACCAGTACCAGTTGAAAACATTAATGGAGGTACAATATATATGGAGACTGTTTAGTGCCAAAAACAAGGGGTTAAATACATGTAAAAAAATTTTTTTTCCTGATCTCTCTTATATCTCTCTGAAATTCTTTGGGGGGGCTATCTGTTGTTCCATGTAGTGAATCTGTTATTCAATGTGTTTGTATGGGCTAATAGCAGTAAAGACTATCTGTTGTTCCAGGTAGTGAATCTGTTATTCAATGTGTTTGTATGGGCTAATAGCAGTAAAGACTATCTGTTGTTCCAGGTAGTGAATCTGTTATTCAATGTGTTTGTATGGGCTAATAGCAGTAAAGACTATCTGTTGTTCCAGGTAGTGAATCTGTTATTCAATGTGTTTGTATGGGCTAATAGCAGTAAGGACTATCTGTTGTTCCATGTAGTGAATCTGTTATTCAATGTGTTTGTATGGGCTAATACAGTGAGGGAAAAAAGTATTTGATCCCCTGCTGATTTTGTACGTTTGCCCACAGACAAAGAAATGATCAGTCTATAATTTTAATGGTAGGTTTATTTTAACAGTGAGAGACAGAATAACAAAAACAAATCCAGAAAAACGCATGTCAAAAATTTAATAAATTGATTTGCATTTTAATGAGGGAAATAAGTATTTGACCCCTCTGCAAAACATGACTTAGTACTTAGACGTTTCTTGTAGTTGGCCACCAGGTTTGCACACATCTCAGGAGGGATTTTGTCCCACTCCTCTTTGCAGATCTTCTCCAAGTCATTAAGGTTTCGAGGCTGACGTTTGGCAACTCGAACCTTCAGCTCCCTCCACAGATTTTCTATGGGATTAAGGTCTGGAGACTGGCTAGGCCACTCCAGGACCTTAATGTGCTTCTTCTTGAGCCACTCCTTTGTTGCCTTGGCCGTGTGTTTTGGGTCATTTTCATGCTGGAATACCCATCCACGACCCATTTTCAATGCCCTGGCTGAGGGAAGGAGGTTCTCACCCAAGATTTGACAGTCCCGTCCATCGTCCCTTTGATGTGGTGAAGTTGTCCTGTCCCCTTAGCAGAAAAACACCCCCAAAGCATAATGTTTCCACCTCCATGTTTGACGGTGGGGATGGTGTTCTTGGGGTCATAGGCAGCATTCCTCCTCCTCCAAACACGGCGAGTTGAGTTGATGCCAAAGAGCTCCATTTTGGTCTCATCTGACCACAACACTTTCACCCAGTTCTCCTCTGAATCATTCAGATGTTCATTGGCAAATTTCATACGGGCATGTATATTGCTTTCTTGAGCAGGGGGACCTTGCGGGCGCTGCAGGATTTCAGTCCTTCACGGCGTAGTGTGTTACCAATTGTTTTCTTGGTGACTATGGTCCCAGTTGCCTTGAGATCATTGACAATATCCTCCCGTGTAGTTCTGGGCTGATTCCTCACCGTTCTCATGATCATTGCAACTCCACGAGGTGAGATCTTGCATGGAGCCCCAGGCCGAGGGAGATTGACAGTTATTTTGTGTTTCTTCCATTTGCGAATAATCGCACCAACTGTTGTCACCTTCTCACCAAGCTGCTTGGCAATGGTCTTGTAGCCCATTTCAGCCTTGTGTAGGTCTACAATCTTGTCCCTGACATCCTTGGAGAGCTCTTTGATCTTGGCCATGGTGGAGAGTTTGGAATCTGATTGATTGATTGCTTCTGTGGACAGGTGTCTTTTATACAGGTAACAAACTGAGATTAGGAGCACTCCCTTTCAGAGTGTGCTCCTAATCTCAGCTCGTTACCTGTATAAAAGACACCTGGGAGCCAGAAATCTTTCTGATTGAGAGGGGGTCAAATACTTATTTCCCTCATTAAAATGCAAATCAATTTATAACATTTTTGACATGCGTTTTTCTGGATGTTTTTGTTGTTATTCTGTCTCTCACTGTTCAAATAAACCTACCATTAAAATTATAGACTGATCATGTCTTTGTCAGTGGGCAAACGTACAAAATCAGCAGGGGATCAAATACTGTTTTCCCTCACTGTAGCAGTAAGGCCAAATAAAATGTTTCATAAATTTTTTATTTTATTTCTATACTTTAAGGGACCTTAAAATTCTAAATCAGATAGCTAAATGATCCTTGGTATGACCTTTTAAAACAATTCCATATAGGTTAGTAGCCCAATTCTAAATCAAATAGCTAAATGATCATTGGTATGACCTTTTTAAAACAATTCCATATAGGTTAGTAGCCCAAAATGTAAATCAAATAGCTAAATGATCCTTGGTATGACCTTTTAAAAACAATTCCATATAGGTTAGTAGCCCGATTCTAAATCAAATAGCTAAATGATCCTTGGTATGACCTTTTTAAAACAATTCCATATAGGTTGGTAGACAGGGCTCAGTAAGTTAAACATAATGTTTATACAAATGAATCATAAAAACAGACATAAATAGAAAGAACAGTATTTAACTACAAGGCAAAACGCAAGGTCAACTAAGGTCCCAAAAGGCACCCTATTCCCTATATAGTGCACTAGTTTTATAGGGTTCTGGTCTAAAGTAGTGCACTATAAAGGGAATAGGGTGCCATCTGGGACACTCTAAAAGAACAGCAGGTGGGCGTCGTGGGTGGGAGCAAACAGAAAGAGATGATTGACAGCTTGCATCATCATCAGACGCACCTAACAACGATCATCTTTGGATAGTATTAGACATCCAAATAGAATTACACAAACACACACAGATAAGAAATCCTTCTGACTCTACGGTATTGGGCTCCCTCCATCCACACAGCAAGTCAAGCTCCACTGCATCGTGAGTCAGGAGTCAAGTCGTATCAGGGCCCAGTTAGACTGGCAGGCTAGGGGATGGAGTTGACAGTCAGGCAGGAACCGTCTGAGAATCACCCTGAACTGAATGTGACATGAAACGCCTGCTGGTAAACCCTGAGGAGAAAAAAACCGGAGAAAAGGCTTTGGCCCCGAAGCACTGGTTGAAAAGGCTGAGTATTAGTCCATCTAAAGATAATCTATTACAGAAAGAAGCACGGATGGAGCAAAAACAGCTCAAGACATGGGACCATTGAAGTTCATCACGAAACATTAAGAACACCTACTCTTTCCTTGACATAGACTGACCAGGTGAATCCAGGTGAAAGCTATGATCCATTATTCATGTCACTTGTTAAATCCACTTCAATCAGTTTAGATGAAGGGGAGGAGACAGGTTAAAGAATGATTTTTAAGCCTTGAGACAATTGAGACATGGATTTTGTATGTGTGCCATTCAGAGAGTGAATGGGCAAGACAAAAGATTTACAGAGCATTCAGAAAGTATTCAGACCCCTTGACTTTTCCACATTTTGTTACGTTACAGCCTTATTCTAAAATGGATTAAATAAATAAAACATCCTCTTCAATCTACACACAATACCCCATACTGACAAAGCAAAAACAGGTTTTTAGAAATGTTTGCAAATGTATTAAACAAAACAAAATAAATGCCTTATTTGCATAAGCATTCAGACCCTTTGCTATGAGTGCATCCTGTTTCCATTAATCATCCTTGAGATGCTCGCCCTACCTCTCCCTCTCCCTCTCAGTCTCTCTCTACCTCTCCCTCTCCCAACCTCTCTCTACCTCCCTCTCCCTCTCTCTTCTCCCTCTCTCTTCTACCTCTCTCTTCTACCTCTCTCTTCTACCTCTCTCTTCTACCTCTCTCTCTACCTCCCCCTCTCTCCCTCTACCTCCCTCCCTCTCTACCTCTTTCTACCTTTCTCTATCTCTACATCTCTCTCTCTACCTCGCTCTCGCTCTCTACCTCTCAATTCAATTCAATTCAGTTTAAGGGCTTTATTGGCATGGGAAACGTATGTTAACATTGCCAAAGCAAGTGAATTAGATAGTAAACAAAAGTGAAATATATATTAACAGTAAACATTACACTCAGAAGTTCCAAAAGAATAAAGACATTTCAAATGTCATGTGGGCTCTGGTCTAAAGTGGTGAACTACATAGGGAATATATGGGCTCTGGTCTAAAGTAGTGCCCTACATAGGGAATATATGGGCTCTGGTCTAAAGTAGCGACCTACATAGGGAATATATGGGCTCTGGTCTAAAGTGGTGACCTACATAGGGAATATATGGGCTCTGGTCTAAAGTAGTGCCCTACATAGGGAATATATGGGCTCTGGTCTAAAGTAGCGACCTACATAGGGAATATATGGGCTCTGGTCTAAAGTAGCGACCTACATAGGGAATATATGGGCTCTGGTCTAAAGTGGTGACCTACATAGGGAATGTATGGGCTCTGGCTGTATACACGGGGTACCAGTACTCAGTGGATGTGCAGGGGTAGGAGGTAATTGAGGTAGATATGTGCATATGGGTAGGGTTACAGTGACTAGTCAACAGGATAGATAATGAGCAGTAGCAGCCAGCGTATGTGATGAGTCAAAATAGTTAGTTCAAAGTGTCTGATGAACGATGTTAAACCACATGTAGCAATCAGTGACAAGGAGGGCAATACTGGGCAATACTGCTATCCACCCTGAACCGAGGTGGGGGGAGGTGGAGGAACATTAGCGGTGCGTGGGTAAAATCACCGGGGGAAGCAAATCCAGAATAAAAAGCCATATTACAACCTTTGTGTTGTGATAATTGCGTTGTTTGCTCTGTAACCTGTTAGTTAATGTGCCTTGCCACCTTAATATATAGGTCCAAGGCTGAGACAATAAGAAGACCACACCTGTGTTTCATCACAAAAGCGGAGAGCAACACCTGTCTGGTGAAGTCCACAAATCATAATGCATGTAACAAACAGTTACATGACCTACAGCACGGTCAAGCAAGGTCATGTTTCTGAAATGTTTGGACTACTAAACAACTATTGATTGATTTAGAACCATGGAGAGTTAACACAAGTCGCAAAGAAAACAGGAACATTTCAACATCATCAAATTACCTATGGTTAGTCTAATACAGTAACAACTTAAAGATACCAAAAACGATTTAGTCCAATCAACGTAAGCTAAATATGATGTGTGTGTGTGCGTGTGTGTCCGTGCAAGTAGAAAAAATATGTTGACTCACCCTACTTGTAGAGAAACGCCAACGCCATCCTCCACTTTCATGTTGCCTAAACGGTCTATGACTCTGTCAAACAGCACACGCCTTTAGTTTTTGTTGTCCAAGGCTACCTGCCTAAAATGCTTGCTCTCTAGCCTAACTTCCTTTTATGGGCAACAATACGCCAGTCCAGCTAGTTAACATTAGCATACTACATCTAGCTACATGTTGAACTTCCATCCTCTCAGGCCAGGGGTATGAATTTATGGTTGGATCAGAATAGTTGTTATAATCATTGGCCAGTACAGAGAATTAAGTAAAACCACAAGTTCAAATCACCATCTCCATCCATGGCTAATTTTGGAAAAGTCAGAATTTAGCTAGCTAGCCACCGGAGGACAACGACACAACGAGATGCAGTTTAGCTCAACGCTGATGGGTTGAGTTAGCTCAGTTTAGCTCAACGCTGATGGGTTGAGTTAGCTCAGTTTAGCTCAACGCTGATGGGTTGAGTTAGCTCAGTTTAGCTCAACGCTGATGGGTTGAGTTAGCTCAGTTTAGCTCAACGCTGATGGGTTGAGTTAGCTCAGTTTAGCTCAACGCTGATGGGTTGAGTTAGCTCAGTTTAGCTCAACACTGATGGGTTGAGTTAGCTCAGTTTAGCTCAACACTGATGGGCTATTATTGTATTATTATTTTTTATCAAGGGAGGCCAAACGCTCGCTGGCTTCTCTTGCATTCAATGCTATGGACGGCAACAATGTCATCCTCTTTCTGACCAGACAGCATTAGATAGATGGGCTACACATACTGAGACAGAGGAGAGTTGTTTTGTTCGCTCGGATGGTTTAACTGGTGAGATGTATTCAGCCTTATACGAATTTGAAGGAAATTTATGAAACGCAGAGAGATGAAAGATTATTTTGTATGTTTTTTTCTTTTTTTCTCTGTACAATTTTTGGGGAATAATGCTTCCCTTGGGGAATGGGTGAAGGTAGAGGGAGGGAGGGAGTGAGGGACGGAGGGAAGGAAGGGGGAGGGATGGGTGAGGGAAGAGGGGGGGGGGGGGGGGGGATGGGTGAGGTCATGGCCAGGTATGCAGCTGTCTAGCTGAGGGGAGTGGTTAGACTCATGCACTCAACTTGAACAGTATTATGCTATCTGTATTTGTCCATGGATTTATTTTTTTTGAAGCAGCAACATATCTGAAAATTCCCTGGCTGTCACTCTGTTTTTCTTGACAATTGCCTGGCTTTCACTCTGTTTGTCTTTTGGTGTAGTGGAATGGGACAGTGACGCGCACTGAGTATACAAAGAGGCAGGACGCAGACGCAGGAATTAACAAGGTCAAGGTTGACTTAACAATGAGCAAGAGAAATAACAATGATAGAGTAACCGACACGAAGCTTAACAACATCCTACAGAACAGTCCAGGGCTAAATAGGGGTGGTGATGAAATGATGAGGTGCAGGTGCGCTGGAGGTGATCAGGGTGCGTTGGGTTTCCATTCCGGTGTTGCCGAGGTGGTGCGGCTCAGACCGGTGGTTCAGTAGACCGGCGAATCAGAGCGCCGGAGGGGAGCAACGGGAGGAGACGTGACAGGGACAGAACTTTACATTCCTGTTTTGCTGTCAAGATACTGTATATCTGTGTCTTCAGATCTCCTTTGGGAATCAGTTCTTCTATCCTCCATTTTCTCTTCTCACAATATGTGTGTAGCGAGATTGCATTAAACGAAACCGCTTCGAACGATGTTTGTCTTGTTGTTTGACAAGTGTGTATTATGGAGTCGATGAAGGGTAAACATTGTGACAAGTGCATCCTGGTATAAACACATACAGGAGTCAATATTGAGCCGTTCCTGGTAAAAGTACAACTTCCTTCTGTAGTGTGGATTAGACCTAGATCCATCTTACCACTTGATTGATTCTATTCTATTCCCAACACTGTTATGACAGTTGTAACACGCATCAGAATCTTACTATTTCCTGAAAGATCTCACAACTGTACAGCCTCCACACCTGCCATTGACTTTCCCGTCCATGTCATGACACTATACCTACAGGACAGACCATTCATCAATCAACCCTATACCTACAGTACAGACCATTCATCAATCACTACCCTATACCTACAGGACAGACCATTCATCAATCACTACCCTACAGAACAGCAGCGTCAGGTATAGGGTGTGTGTGTGTGTGTGTGTGGTGTGTGTGTCTGTGGTGTGTGTGTGTGTGTGTGTGTGTGTGTGTGTGTGTGTGTGTGTGTGTGTGTGTCTGTGTGTCTGTGTGTGTGTGTGTGTGTGTGTGTGTGTGTATGTGTGTGTGTGTGTGTGTGTGTGAGTGTGTGTGTGTGTGTGTGTGCGTGCAAGTAGAAAAAATATGTTGACCTCACCCCTACTTGTAGAGAAACGCCAACGCACCTCCTCTCTTCCATGTTGCCTAAACTGTCCATGACTCTGTCAAACAGCACACGCCTTTAGTTGTTGTTGTCCTGGGCTACCTGCCTAAAATTCTTGCTCTCTAGCCTAACTTCCTTTCATGGGCAACAATACGCCAGTCCAGCTAGTTACATTAGCCATATACATCTAGCTACATGTGAACTTCCATCCTCTCAGGCCAGGGGGCACAACGTTGTGAATGTATGGGTTGGATCAGAATAGCTGTTATAATCATTGGCCAGTACAGAGAATTAAGTAAAACCCCCAGTCAAACCCCATCTCCATCCATGGCTAATTTAGGGAAAGGACGATTTTAGCTGGCTAGCCACCGGAGGACAACGACACAACGAGATGCAGTTTAGCTCAACACTGATGGGTTGAGTTAGCTCAGTTTAGCTCAACACTGATGGGTTGAGTTAGCTCAGTTTAGCTCA